CAAAACTGTAGATTTTGTATTTTTACATCACAACATCTAATTTCAACCAGTGCTGCATTCAACATACCTAGTGACACACAAAAAACTATGTTTAGCCGTGTTTTTTTAATTTTTACTTTTAAATTAAGAAACTAACGTAAGTATAATACTAAAATATGAATTATAATCTACAATTTGATACCAAACTTATTGACATAGATTCATAAAATAGTAGTTCAATAAAATTTTGAATGCAAGTCAACAAACGCGATGACATGGCCTGTTGCAATAGGGACAATGAACTGTTGTAATAGAAACTGTTTTTCCTGAAAATTGATATTATTTAGCTATAGAAAATAAATCAGCTGTTTGTTTTTCATACCTTGTATAAACACATCTGTAGGTTTCTTTAATAGTCATATACAGAAGCAAATCACCAGAAGTTATCACTATAAATTTAGAACACAGAGTTGAATACTGTTATTTGCTTTTATAATGCATGTCATAAGGGATATATTTAAATGTAACTTTTTTTAAAAATAGAACTTGTGACTAATTGATACCGAGAGTATAAAAATCTTTTTTTAATGTAATTTCAAATAATGAGGCTAGTGTTCTAGATTTCATTATGTTATTACATACTCACATTGATATTCATCATTGTTTGTGGCATGGCATGGCCTAGTGGTTAGAGTACTCAACTCACAATATGTGGGTTGCAGGATTGAAACCTGTATCAAAAATTTTCACCCTTTCAGCCATGGTGGCTTTATAATGTGATGGTCAATCCAACTTTTCAGTGATAAGGGAGTAGCCCAAGAGTTAGCAGTGAGTGATGGCTAGAGCTGGGCAATTAATCAATATAATCAATTACCTATGATCATTGATTTGACCCTATTGCTATGGGATTTCCTGTGGTCAGAGGTCAAAGTATGTCGTCATGTTTGTAGACTTACATTCAAAATTTTATTGAACTACTATTTTATGAATGTATGTCAATAATTTTGGTATCACATTGTAGATTATAATTCATATTTTTAGTATTATACATTAGTTAATTTCTTAATTTATAAGTAAATATTTAAAACAAATTCCTATATCGATTTTTGTGTGACAAGTGTATATGTTGAATGCAGCATTGGTTTAAATTAGATGTTTTTGATGTCCAAATACAAAGTCTATAGTTTCTTATGAATTAGGAACTCAATTTACGGATATTGACAAGCTATAATATAAAATAACAACCTCCTTCCTGTCTTTTCTGTTTGCTGAGATATCACTATATTTAGTGAATCAAACACAGTGGCCCCGCCCACCTCTTCCATTTTTGGAAATACCTACTTACACAAACCTGCTTCACTCTATTATGTGTTTATAATCAATCAAAAGCTCAGAATTTCCACCACGTGGGTTTTCTCAGTCTCTTGAAGGTGGGAATTTCCCAAGATTATTTCTTTTGTCTCGAATCTCAGAAGGAAGGGTAAGTAAAAATGTTATTCAGAAAACAATATTTGTTAGACCCAAATACAGTTTAGTTTAGTAAGTCTGATAAATTACAGTGGAGTTCTGAGAGATTGATATCATAATTTATTATTTTTTGTTATTTCAAAATGCATATATAAAACTTAAAAAAAGCTATTTTGTTTTACATCCTTCACGTGCAAAATTCAGCAAGGCTTAGTATGCAAGGTATGGCAAGCGAGTATAAATTTCTTTACAATTGTAAGTAGTAGAGATCATTATTTTTTATATTTCTTTATTTACTGTTCTATACTTTATGAAAAATAATGGAAATTCAAGAACTTGTTTGTAAATCATAATATATTAGGTCATCAAGAAATTAATGTCGCTTTTTTTTTTAGATGAAAAATTCAGAACAATTTATATATCAAAACAAAATATTTATTAAGTGAAATAGTCTCCATTCTTTTCGATGATGCTTTTTCATCTTACAATCAGGCTGTTAATGCCCTGATTAAAGAAATCACTTGGCTTTGTAGCAAAAAAACATGTCGATGTCCTCTTTAATACCTTCCACATTTGCATACATTTTCCCATTAAGATGGTGTTGCAGCAAACGAAAAAGATGGTAATCTGATGATGCCATATCTGGAGAATTTGGTGGGTAGGGGAGAACTTCCCAACCCAACTCCATACTCTTGTGTTGCGTCAAACGTGCCACATGTGGACCTGCATTGTCGTGGAGAAGAACACCTTTCCGATTGATAAGTGAAGGGAGTTACTGATGAAAGGCTTGATTTAAGCATTCCAGTTGCTGATTGTAGATCTCTGCATTGACGGTTTGCTGTGGATTGAAGAGCTCTAAATGAATTACTCCTTTGATGTCCCACCAGATGCAAAGCATCACTTTCAGGTTTTTGGGTCGGATGTGGTTTTTGTCTAGGATTGAGCCATTGTTTTTGGCATTTAATATTCATATAGGGAATCCATTTTTCATCACCGGTAACAATTCTGTCCAAGAATGGTTCACGTGCATTATGCGCCAGAAGAGAAGAAGCAACATTCACATGTTGGAAACGATGATCATCGGAGAGTTCGTGATGTACCCAAACACCTTCTTTGAGGAATTTTCCCATGTTCCTTAGATGTTTACATATTGTGTCATGAGAGACATGCAATTTCAGGGCCATTTCACGAGTGTGTGTTGCTGTGGGTTAGACTCAATAAGCATCTTCAGAGCATCAATATCTATTCCAACATGTTGGCCCCTACCATCACAGTTATTAAGGCTAAAATCACTTGAATGAAATTTACTGAACCATCGTTGACACTTATGAACGTTCAAAACATTTCCATAAACTTCTTTGATATTCTTTGTGGCTACAGAAGCATTGTTTCCCTTCTTGTATTCAAACAGCATTAAGTGCCAACTGTGTGTCTCATCATGTGCCATCACTCTAAGGGATTACTAAACTTGACACATTATATTGGTTACACTAACGTGACGTTTAGGTGGTTCATTTAACTATTATACGTGATGTACGTTTATTTGGGGGTGGTTAATGAAAGTGTTCCAAAATGGGACATTAATTTTTTGACGATCTAATATATACAAATGTAATGTATTATAACTGAAATGTTACTGTATTTTACCAAATACTGGTCCACTAGAACAAAGCCAGTTTTCTATTATTGGATATGGTAATATGAGTGCACATGCACCATGTCATTGCAACTTCCCTAATGTTAGTCAGACATGGCTGAAAAGTCAATAAAATAATAAATGTATATAGATGTATAATGTTATAAGATTTAAGCTATTTAGACTAAACATTTCTGGTTTGATATTATAATTTGTAGTCATCTAGAACTAAAAAAGCATAACTTATATCTATTGGCTAATATTTTATGGTGGTTACGAGGTCAGTTAAATTGACCAAACTCATACAGAGATACAGTAGTGAAAATAATAGATAAAATATAGTTTTTTTCTAAAAAAAAGTTTGATAATTATCTGGAGGTTATAAAGACTTTGCATGTGAAATTTGACAATCTTCTGATACATAAAAATATTTTTAATCTTAAAATCAAAATTATTTTGCATGTTGGATAGTCAACATTCAAAAAGAAATAATGCATGAACAAATCATTACTGAAAAATCTTAAAATATAATTTACAAATTCAATATTTTGTGTACAAAAGCTTTGAAATGTTTACTGATAATCTGTAAAAATTTCATGAAGATACACTTGCTATATTAAAAGTTATAATATAAAAACTATAACAAGCTCAAAATGATTACGAGGTCAGTCCCTGGGACCAAGCTCATAGTGAGAGACTTAATGTCACTAAAAATAATCAAATTTAGTGTTTTAGATTGTTATATGTATCCAAACAATCAAAATATTGTCATTATGATAATATATTCTTTTTTGAATAATTCAAGATTGTTGAACTTAATCAATTAGTGTTTTCAATTTTTGCAACTATCCAAGTCTCATGAGAATAATGAATTAGTTGAATGTAATTGGATAATGTACCTGACAATTAATTGATTAGAAAATTCCACTTATCTGTCACTCCTAACAGCTGCATATAGCCTTGGATTTTGCATAAACAAACAAAACCTTTTTTGTTGTTGTTGTTGTTTTTTTATATTGTAAGAAATTATATATTAATTTTGTTATTTACTACATTTTTTGTTTTTACAATGAAGCACTTAGAGTGAATATCTGTGGTTTCATTTATTGACGTAATAGTAGTGTGTACCCTAGTATGAATTGTATGTATTTATGCATAAATAAACTTTTGTTATATAAAGAAATCTAGAGTACTGTGTTAGGATATACAGTTATTAAATAATACCCATAAGCACCATATAAGTTTTACTTTTGCAAGATAAGGATTTCCAGTTTACTTCTTCAGTTTTTCCTAAGATTTTAATTATTCTTATTTCATGTTTTCTTTAATATCAGGAATTAACACAGAAATGGTTAGAGGTAAAAGAACTTGTGCCAAAGAGAGACCAAGTCCTTGAAGCTGAATTGTTACGACAACAGTGTATCCTTTAGTTGTTATTTGCTGTTATCTTCTAGTAAAGCAGTTTGATATCTCATGAGGTTCATAAAGTGTAATTATGCTCTTGAAAGGAGAACTAACTTCATTAAAATCCTTTAGAACAGTACCAACCATTACACTATAGTATAAGGGAATAAGCATATCTTATATAGGGTACAGAGAAATGGCCATACAAAAAATGTCTTTGGTACTTATGTACTCTTCCATACTAGCAGCTGCTATAAACCAGAAGTAATAGCTGCAACTAGCTGTACTAAAATCCTTCAAGATACAATGTGATCTCCTAAACTACTAGAGATTTTCTCAGTGTAGTTTATATAGCATGTCCAACACTTTACAAATTAGATATTGATAGCCAAAATATGACAAATACATAAACATATAATTCTGTTTTCTTTTTAATAACATGAACACATCAATGTTTCTTCTATTTTATTTTGTATCATAAGTGTGAGTTTTACCAAAGAAACCTCCTAAATGTTTGCCGAAACAGTCATTTAATTTCTCCCAGAAACCAAAATGGTGTACTTTTCAATTTTGTGTTGATGGATTTTACTGTTTTCAATAAAAGTCAAACATTATTAACACATTTTCTTGTTCAGGGTTAATATGCATATTAGTAGTAGGTTGTAAATGTCCTGGGAAAACAATAATCAGGTCTGTATGAACCATATGTTAGAATAACTTTCAAATAATCAAGTTTTTTAGACTTTAACTTCTTCTGCAGCCAATGAAATGTTGAGATGCAAATTTGCAGAGAAGGCTAATGTGGTAGGACCGTGGATTGAGGGCCAGATGGACAGTGTGGCAGCTTTAGGTATGGGTATGCAAGGAGTATTGGAAGATCAGCTAGACAAACTCCAACAGCTTGAACAAGCTGTAGTACAGTATCAGCCTCATATGGATGAGCTTGAAAAATGTCATCAGGTATAATATTTAAAGTTCAACATAGGCTTAGTTATGCAATATTATTGGTAAGAATTTGAGAATTTTCATTTAGAAAGTTTAATAATATAAAAATATTTCATCTTTGGAGATCCAATCCTCCAGAACACATGGATTATTGGATTTCTTTAACTGAGGTAAAATATTAGAGGAATGGTTATGATGCTGACATCTCAATAGGAAAGTTATGTATTGAACAATACAGGCTAGTATAGAAGTTGGCGTAGTATAAATTGAATACAATTTTTCATCATTTAAAAATACATGAAACATGCATATTAGTAGTAGGTTGTAAAGTATTGGTCTGATAAGTTTAAGTTGTATAAATTTAATGATATAATTTATTTAAGAACAATATAGATTAGATTCTGTATTATTATTTTGTAAACATGGATGGTAAAGTACATTCCTGTCATGAATGAAATGAAAGAAATATCATTAGATAGAAATATACTTAAAACTTAAAAAGAAACAACAACCAAAGTAAATTGTACAGTCCTTGAAAATTGTTTTCAGATGTTATTTAAGAATACAAAAATAGAGTATTGTATTATCTGAAGATAAATAACCTTATAAAAGAGAACAGGTTATGTGGTACAGCAATATATGTATAAGCATCTACAAAAATGTCATGTCCTGTAAAAGTAAGCATTTCCTTATTGTTTTAAGATGTTTTAAAATGCTTTTTAAATTCATTTAATTTTTGTAAGATATAAATTGTATTAAATAGAATGGTGGAAACTTTATCTGAATGAAAAATAAAATTCTAATGTTTGATTTGTGTATAATATTATATGCTATATGTATATAGAATGATAAAACACACATTTGTTCCAGCACTGTCGTGTATGAACTAAATATCTAATGCACTTACAGGAGCAAATAAAATCATGTCTTATAAAGTATTAAAATTAAAAGAAACAACTTTTAATGTAAAATAAGAGGAAAAAAATGTAGATTATAACAATGCAGTGCTAATAATTGACCATAATGTTGAAATACGTCATCTATACATGGTGCTGAAGAGTAAGTCATTTTATGTAATATAAAATGCTATCTTCTGTTATTAGGTGTTTTGATTTTTTAATCACTTTAACTATTAAGCACCTTTAAGGTGCAAGATAGGTATAAAGAAGGAAAGTATAAGATGAAATTTGAACTTGAAGTACTGAAGCCTATAAAATGTTATGGGTCAGTAAAGATGGAAAAAAATGTTAAATACTCAAATGAGATTTGCTTTTGCTATAAAATAAGTCACTTTTTTATTGTACCATCTTCAATTTCTCTGTGTTTCAAAAAGTTTTCACAAAGTTTCTGTTTTCTAAGAACATTTTAAAACAATCTAACCTCTGAAAATATTCTTTTTTGTCTAAGAGTTTTTAAAGTGCAGGTTATAAAGACAAAATTTTATTTTCACAGGAAGTACAAGAATCTATGATTTTTGAAAATTCATACACCCAGTATACAATGGAGGTATGTTTATATTTCATATAGTTGTGAATATTTATATTTCAAACAACATTTTAAAATTTAATACCTGTGGTGGTATGCTATTTATTATATTTCGTATAATTTTGAACATTTATATTTCAAACAATATTCTTAAATATAAAACTTGTTGCACTTAGAATATCCATGTTATTTTTTCAGAAATAAAAGTTGTATGTTTCTGGAATAATGACATTACTCTTTGAAAACCTTTCAGCTTATTCAGGATTTTTTTTTTGTAAAGTTACCTTTAAGTCTCTCAAAATGGGCTTAGTCAAATTGACTGACCACGTGACCTCATTCTACTCGTCTAAAGTCTTTTTAGTTTTGATACTACTAACTTTAAATATAGCATATATATATATATATATACAAAATTTGGCAGACTTTCAGTAAACATTATAAGTCTTTCATGTGCAAAAAAAAATTTATTTTTTAGTGAAGTATGTTTAATAAACTAAAAAAAGATTTGTCCGTGAATATATCAAGTATTTTTTTACTACTTTGCATGCAAAGTGAATTTCTTGTTATGATTAAAAATACTTTTCTTCATCTCAAAAATCTTAAATTTCATTTGCGTGATTTCTAAAACTGCCTAAATACACTTCAAATGTTTGTTTTCAGTAAAAATTTATATTTTATCTGTTATTTTCTCTACCCTAACTCCATACCAAAAAGAAAAATCGAAATGTATCTAAATTACCCTTTTTTTGTTTCTATAATGACTTCAAACTGTAACATTTGTTTATCCTAAGTAGCTTTAAATGTAACATTATACGTTTATTTATACTTAAATTTTATTGTTTTATTGCCCTAGGTCTAACTACTACTATTCATGCCATTGTAAGTTGTAAATCACTTGGGGAACATGGACCTCAATTTATGCTATCACATTGCATTACCCATGAGCTACTAGTGTGCATGCCTCATGAAACATTTTTATTATATTATTATTTATTTAACTAATCTAACCTTAACTAGCATAAAGAGATCCATATTTTTACATTTTAGTTACTTTTATAATAATAAAACATGAAAAATAAAATACTTACCTGGGTCTTCTTTCTTTCTTTTTTTTGCGGTCGACTGTCGATGACACTTAACCCTACTTTTTTATACTAATGCACTCAATAATATTTATTTAATTAAATAATGCACCAAAGAACATAAAATAATAACATGTAAAAAGCAGACAATTTCCCCTAATTATCACAGTTTTTCTGGCTTTCTAACTATGCAACAAGAGTCATTACAAATTCATCCAATCTAGTCATTATCTTTCCTATGAGAACTAAGCTTGTACTAACAGAGAAAATGACAATACTCTCTTCAGAAAACAACTTAATATGTCATTTCATAGATGAAAACCTTGGCTTTCTATTGGTTATACATAATGTAATATTAAGAGTAAGAAAGAATCATTAACAAGTCATGGAAGAGAGGATGTGGGTGTGGAAAGAGGGTTCTGATTTTCTATTTGATGGCTCTGTAACCAAACAAGATTAAAGGCTATAAAAATTATGGTTTGACTGGGGAATGACGATTTTATAGTGAGTAATTTACGTTAAATTTCGTACTTATTGGAGGGGTGGTGAATAAAATAGAGAAGATGGAATACCTAGAGAAAATATGTCACAATTCTCACACTAGGAGAAATTCAGAATTTTTTTAAATACTGCCTTGTAAAATTTAGAAATTAAAACTTATATACTACTAAAATATTGATTATTAGCTAAAATTTTATTCTATACTTATTGATATAATATAAAAAAAAGTGGTTTAGATTAAATTTTGAATGTAAGTCACAAAAACCTCGTGACATGTGCAGTGAATGATGCTTTATAATTAATGGCATGAATAGTAGTAGCTAGACGTAGTTCAAAGGGCAATAAAATGTAAGTATAAATAAACATATACTGTTACGAGTTTAGATTTATTTCTATTTTTTAATTTTTTTTTATGGTTATTAGGTTGGTCAAATAGACCTACCTTGTATAGAGTTAGGGTAGAGAAAATAACAATAAAATATAAAGTTTTAATGAAAAACAAACATTTGAAATGTATTTAGAAGGTTTTAAAGGTTACGCAAATGAAATTTGAGATTCTTGAGATGAAGAAAAGTATATTTTAATCTTAACATGAAAATCACCTTTCATGTGGACTAGTCAAAACAAATACTCGATATATTCATGGACAAATCTTTTTTTTAGTTTATTAAAAATACTTCACTAAAAATATGATTTTTTGTATGTGAAAGACT